GGAAATTTGGAGAATAGTATAGAAATTTCCTAATATGAATTTCATAGGGCAATTCATTGAATAGCAGAGGGTAATAAATTATGAAATTATACTAATAAATCATAAAGAAACAATTAGTTTTTATGCCTTCCTGTAAAACACTCACTGTTTACATATGACTTTTTGCACTAACTGTCATGATATTCATGTTCAATGTGCACTCGATTTTTTTTTTAATCCCCAGTCTTCAAATATGCAATCTGCATTGGCGGAACTTTTTCGCATTTTAGTATTCGCTGATGAACAAAATTCGTGGATATTAAACTAGTATACGTTGAGGGATTACTGTATTTCCGAAAAAGACTTTATTTACTAAAGTAAATAAATGATTTATATATGTTCTTTAAGACGTTTAAGTGAAAACATGTGAAGGTATTGTGAAAAATTAGACAGATATTGTGATCTACCTATGACGCAATAAATTACGAGCAGAAAAAGAAAAAAACAAATACATCCATATAGAATAGAAGAATCAACTTTATTCTGGGACAACGTCCCTTGAGAATAACAATATTATACATAAAATTAACATAACATCTGGCCAAAATGTATATTACAATAAAAAAAACTAAAAAAAAATAATAACAGAAGTATTTACATAACTGTACAGATATATTAAAGACATAATATGAGCAATAAGGTCCTAATACTGCAAAATAGTTGCTATACACAATAAGCTATGAAACTATAAATGAGCGCCAAATAACTTTTGTTGTCATGTCATTGTATTAATGAAAAAAAATAATAATAAAAGAGTGGATAAATATTTACTTTAAATGATTTACATATGTATCTTAGTATGTTCGAAGAATACAATAATAGTATTGTAAACATTATACAATTTCTATATAATCTAAATCCTATGATATTGATTGATTGGAGAAAAGAAAAGATAATATACATATAGACGAGATTATATACATATATGATATACATTATCAATGGCTACCCAGCGTGTGATTGAATTGTAAGGAGGAATTGGAATAAGAGGGTTTTAAATGTGGATAAGGATGGTGCATGACGGATTTTAAGTGGGATGGAATTCCAAAATGTATATACGCAAACATAAATACATATTTATATATACATATACACATATATGCACTAATTTAGAAAAACAAAATGTTTACGTCATGCTGTTTACTGTATTTGACTAGTTAATTCTTAATTGCGTCGCTCTACAATTAAGTCATTGGGAATTAAGATTTAATTATTAAATTTTCTCCAAGAATGTATATTATTTTACTTATTTATTTCTAACGGTTCAAAAGTTAGATAAATTATAACTTTATATGTCAATTCGTAGAATTTGCAAACTTCCTGCCGGTGACGCGGCTGAGAGAGAAGCGCTGGGATCTCTTAGAGTCCCGCTTTGTCCTTAATACGTGGGGGAAAGGGCTGGACTCCGAGCTCCCTTGGTTGATTGTAAATAATGTAAATAAAGTATGAATGTTTTTCTTTTTTATATATTAAGTATGAATGTTTTTCTTTTTTATATATTAAGCATGAATGTTTTTCTTTTTTATATATTAAGTATGAATGTTTTTCTTTTTTATATATTAAGTATGAATGTTTTTCTTTTTTATATATTTATTTGTTTTTTATTTATTTATTTTTTATTTGATTTCAAGTTACATTTCTTTAGTTTTATAGTTTTTACCTTTGTTACATAGATATATACTTTTATTTTTTTTTTATTTTTTTTTTTTTATTGCATTGTATATATAGTATGAATGGACCTCACTCAGCTTTAGTACTCAGAGTCCTTAAATGTAGCAAAATGTATTATTTCTCAATAAAAAGATTTAAAAAAAAAAGAATTTGCAAAAAAAAAAATACTTTTTATGATATACTTTATTAATATTGCTCTAACTTTCTAAACATCTAAATCTATACGTAGCTACTCCTATATACATATATACAAAACGAATATTATAATAACTATTTTTTTCTAACAATTCTCGGATTTGACATTATAGAAACTTATTATAAGATGGAAGAATCAATTATTTTTACTTTCACATACCTATATATGTAATATATAGTAAGTGTAAAGTATTGCGATCGTGAAAATTTTCGAGTCTGAGTTTTCAACGGAAATACACGTTTTGAGGTACCCTGAGTCCAAATAACCAAGTCCCGAAAAATGGTCTGTGTGAATGTGAACACCGTAGCTCGAAAACGAAAAGTCGTACGAAATTGATATTACGTATTTAAGATAGATACATGCCTTAGATGTAAAAGCAACATTTTCCTTGAAATCGGCTAACCGGAAGTGCCACTTTATATCAACGCTGAAACACATTTTTACAATTTTCTAAAAAACGGCTATAACGATTTTGATTAAACTCGGTGTATCATTGTATAATTAAGTGGTCTTTAATATCATTTAGGTCTTATCCCCATCGATGTCACTTTACAGAGCTTAAATGTTCATATAAGTCTTCCTTTAATATGGTTTGTTTTAAATAATTAACCATCTTTCATTATTAAAAGTTACGAAAAAATGTTAAATATAACTTTTGAAAGAAATTTATAATTGAATAAATGATAAAAAAATAAAAATGCTTATCCAGATCGAAAATGATTCTCCGAAAATACTAGTCAAGGGGTATACGTATAATATATAAGTGGAAAGCGGAGAATTTTAGAAAAAATAATATTTTATATAGAAAGTTGTAGAAGGTAACAGAGAGTGGTGAAAAAATTATAATAATAATTTCAGAAAACTAATATTATCTAATGTAAATCACATGTTTTACAGGAAATTAAATGCAATGTTCTTACAATATGTAAACTTTTAAATGTTTTTCTAAGTTTGAAAAAAAGTATTTAACATCCAGCGAATCAGACCAATTCCATTCTTTAAAATACTATTTCGTTGTACTTGTATGAAAGAAGAAGTGAAATATAAAAATATTTCATAGATATGTTTATAACCTCAAATATATTTACTATAGAGTACTGACTCTAGATAAAATATTATATTAAATAATTAGGTATCTATCGGTCGTTTATTCCAACAAACCATCAAGTAACCTTTTAGAAAATTAAATTAGTGAATAATTTGATGAATTTTCCCTGTGTGAAATTCCAACATTATCCACTTACAATTTGTGTGACAACTTTTGAACTATCCATGGCAGACAATGAAAATCACGTAATTTCGTTTTAGTAAACTTTACAAAGGAAAAAATAACAGGTTAATAATTAATAGTCCTACGATCCATAATCATTTATAGGTTAAATATTCAGATATACTTTCAAATATCTCTAGGCATATGTGAGCCTTTCGGTTGACAGAATGACTAACTCCAATTTCAACATTCTTTATTATTAATTTTAGTGACAAAATTTATACCTTTATTCACAGTTCTATATTTCAACAATGCAATCACCTACTCTGGAATCAACTTACTCACTGTCTGTATATAACTTTTCCAACTAGAAATATTGCCAAAATGGCATTACTCAAAGATGTTGAAATTGGAATTAGTCATTCTGTCAACTAGTCAAATATTAAAGTTGTGTGGTTTATAAAAGCAGATGGAGTGACTAGATTTTTATTGCCTACCGTCGATATAATAAATAGACTTTTTGTAATTATAATGGTCTTAATGGTTTGTTATCTGTAAGCTATTAGCTTTAGCTCCATTTAAAAAGCACTTCAAAAATTTTAAAATTGCCCAACATTGCGAGAAAATAATTTATATTCAAAGTATAGAGGTAAGTGAAAGTTGTGTGTTTAGCGCATCAGATTTTTTCCCGGTAATTGTAATCGACTAAGAACAAGAAAATAATTTTAAAACTTTATTCATATTTTAAGCAAACATATATACAAATTACAATAAGCTGTATCTTTGCAATTATTAGTCCAATTTCAATAGTTTTTGTTTTGTAGAAAATTTAGATTATCTTTCAAATATTCAAGGATCCAACTCAACAATAAAATGAATATTTTTGATATTATTCAGAAATAAATTTATTTTATTTCATAACATTTTCCCTCAAATTTCTGGAGGATCTGACAATTTTTCTCACCAGAAGGAGATGAAAATATTGAGTGCTCAATCATTGGATTTGATGAAAAATTAATATGGTGTACCGACAAAAAACCACCTTGAGAAATAATATCCTATATATTATTTGTAAAAAGTTGTTTATTTGTCGGTACGCCGTAACTTCATCAATTCTTCATCAAATCTAATTATTGACCACTCATTTTGAAGATATTTTTCTCCTTCACATGCGAAAAATAGTCCCATATCCCCGAAATTTTCGAGGGAAAAACTTATGGTGGAAAAGAAACTTTATTTGCGAATAACTCAAAAATTATGCATTTTTTCATACTAAGATTACTAAATTACCTACAAAACAAAAAAAAATCCTAAAAATCTGACAATTATTAACAAAAATAGAGTCTATTAGTTATGATATATTTAATTATGTCTTCTAATTGAAAACTTTGCATTTAGGAATTGAATAGTCTACTACATTTTTTTTTCCTGGCTGATACATTAACTTTATTATTTCTTAAAGGTTGTTGTTACATTTTATTTTTTTTAATAATTTAAAATATCCTATGATCAGGACATTGATTTTTCTATATTACTTTTATTATCTTTCCTGTCAGCGTTTAAAAATAGGTCCTAGCAAAGCAATTTGTACAAATATTTTGGTCTGTTATGTTTAATGGGATATTGTAATCGACCAAGGAAAAAATATTAATTCCTTCCTTACATAATACATAGGAACTACTTGTTTTCATATTGTTTTGCTATTTTTTCACAATAGCATATTTTCTGCGAATTTTTCTCATGGGCCAACTAGTTTTAAAATAATACGCTATGTACCATTTTGAATGGATTTCTTCTTCGAAGTAATATAGTTTTCAATAAAACATGTTTACATATTATTGTTTAATTCTGTGAACATAATACGTCAATAAAAAGGTCAGCGTTCAGACTTTTTATTATATTTGTCATAGAGTTGCAATAAAATGATCATACAATATAATTAACACAACATCACGAACAAATAGAGCGCCTCGGAAGAGGGGATTCTGCTATAAGAGATTCTTGAACAACCAGATCCGGTACTCCTTCCAAATCCGGAGCTGCCACAAGATGTCCATCGTCTTCCTCTTCATCTTATTCCATTCCTCGCAGGGATTCAAAGTCCTAGGTAAGAAGGATTATTTATGAATGAATGAGGCGTTATAGATTACAAATTATTTTTCGGTTGTATACCATCGATCTCTATTGCATAATAGTCCGTGGTACAGACCTTTTTTTATCAAACTGTCACAGGCGGATCTACGGGAGGGGGGGGAGGTACATTCGGGCTGAAGCTTCCCCCCAAAATGGTACAATATAACCATGTTTTACAGAGAAAATATTTAAAACTATCTCTTAAAGTATTCTTGTTCGTGTAATTACATTTAATAGGACTTCAAGAACGACCTAAACACCATTTCATATAGGTAGTTAATTTCTTTCTTTTTTTTTTCTAATTAATTATCGTTTTATGTACATGAAAAATATTCTTTCGGGCTGAAGCCCCTCCCCAAAATTAAATCCTGGATCCGCCAGTGCATACTGTTACACATCCATCTGAAACTTCTTAAATAACTTCATCTCATCGTAAACTACAAATATTTTATTAACGAAAATTCTCAGAACTGGGGCGTTCACCCATTTGCTTTCCACTTGAATAGTAAGATAATTTGAGCACAAAATCGAGAGAAAGGGTAGTCTTCAAAAATATCGAGTCGTTCGGCGCGATCTACATCCCCAAAATATCGAAATAACGAGATTATATAGGACAAACGGGCCAATATTTTTGCAGGCCACCTTTTTTCTCGATTTCATGCTCAAATTATCTTACGAATCAAGTGGAAAGCAAATGGGTAAACGGCCCAGTTCCGAGAATTTTCGTAAATAAAATATTTGTAGTTTACGATGAGATGAAGCTATTTAGGAAGTAATCAAATTATAATTACGATCCAAGTGAAAAGAATCCATTTACGAGTTTTTACTACCTAATTAAATAGACAAAGTTGGCCGATCTCCAGATAGAAAACGCGATGAGATGAATCTAATTCATGAAGTTTCAAGCGGATATTAATAATTTGATAAAATGGAGTCTTTAATACGGACTAAAAAGTCATTTAGAAAGATTTTAACAAATTAAATCACCGAATAATTTGACGAATGTAACCATTAGGGTATTTTATTTTTCGACTGTGAAAATTCTCTTTTTCACCCTAGATTAAGCATTTTATTTTGCTTCCTCACTACCGAAGGTAGAGAATCATTGGGTTCGTGCGAGAGATTAAAAAAACATTTGTGCTCAGAATCGAAAATTTCTACTCGCGTTTTACGTTTCAGACATCAAGGATCAAATTTGGTTCGGTGTCTGTCTGCTTATCCGATTTTCATGAAATTTTCAGAGATTTTTTTTTTTTTTTTTTTTTTTTTTGATATGCCAATATTTCTATAAGGGCTCAAAATTAGATAAAAGATAGGTAATGGTGAAAAAAAAAACGTAATGTCAATTTTATTGAATTCTGTCCCCTAATTTCTGGTATATATGCGGAAACGTGTTTTTCTTGATGCGTCTATATCTCTAAAACCACATGTTCGATTTGGCTCAAATTTGGAAGGAATTAAGAGATTAGTAAACAGATTATCAAATAGGTATGAATTTCATTAAATTCTATTCACTTCTCCTAGAAAAAATACTTTCACTTTCGGATCAGCAAACGTATTATTTGGCAAGCCTATAGTTTGAAAACTGCGCGTTCAATTTGACCCAAACTTGGAAGAAATTTGGAGAATAGAATACAAATTTCTTAATATGAATTTCATTGAATTCGATTAAATAATTAAAATTAATATGAATAATTGTTAACAATATAATGACAGTGAAATATTAAAAGCACTGACCATATGGAGTGGGATTTAGGTTATGACTATATTTTTATGGGATTATAAAATTTTAGGTTTTATTCAAAGAGTTAATTTATACTGTATTGTTTCGTCGATTCCAACACGTTACATAGATTTCGTGTAATTTTCAACAAATTTAAATTATTTTTTAGTCTGGGTTTGTAAAAAAGAAAAACCTTATTTGTGATTGTGTTAATTTCTATTGAAGTTCAACCAGCTCGTCGTGGTGTCGAGTTTATGTGTGATTTTTAAATATATTTTTATATTCCAGCTTAAGTAGTTTTGTTCTGACTGAAGAAATGTATTGGTCTCATTAACTCTGAAAAAACAAAAAGTTTAGTTTTTCTTATTTCTCTAAAGGAGGTTTTGTAACATCGATTTTACGAGTGAAAATGTGTCGATTAAGTACATATTACTACTGTTAGTGCAAAAGGTCGTAAGCATTCTGCTACGATGAAAAATAGCAGATGACAATAAATTATGAAATTATACTAATAAATCATAACGAAACAATTAGTTTTTATGCATTCCTGTAAAACATTTCAGCATTTCATCCCCTCTGTAATGGGCTATTATTTAAAACGGTATATTATTGCGAGGCCATTTTAGAGAGACGAAAAGGAAAAATATAGTGTCGAAAACCGAATGATAACGAGTTTAATTGAAGATGTGGATAAAAATACCTCAGAAAATAAAAATCGGACCTGAATAACTTAAGCGAGGGAAATGTTCAGCATTTCATCCACTTTAAAATGAGCTATTATTTATAATTTATATTTCATATTATTAATTTCGCCATGTTGATGTTTGCACTTTTATCGTGTGGTCTAAAGCACACCACCTTAGTTTTTTTTAAGACCAATTCCCTTCAACTATAGATCATCACACTATCGAGAAATTAAAGCTAATACATTGCACCACTAAGTAATTTATGAAAATTATCTTCATTAGAATAGCTGTTTTAAAGATATTTGTAAATGTGCAATATCGTGCAAAAAAAAAATTACACTTTCAATCCAGTGAGACTTCCCCTGATTTTTCGGCAGAAGTTTTTTTTATCTAATGGGTATACAGTTTATATTAATATATATATTTATTTATTATATTTTTTTTTATAATATACTTTTCATACAAGGGGAAATATTGTATACTGCGGTACAGATCCCTTTTTTATCTGATCATTAATATCCAGCAAAAACATGAATGGCTTCATATTATCGTAATCGACAACTTTTTACTTTCACTTGCCTATATATGAAATATATAGAAAGGGATTGCGATAGTAGTATTGCGATCGTGAAAATTTTCGAATCTGAGTTTTCAGTGGAAATACATGTTTTGAGTTCCACTGAGTCGAACATACCTTCCCGAAAACAAGCTGCATAAATTTGTATGATGAATTCAGTATTTTATTTGCGAATAACTCAAAAAGTACAAATTTTTTTATTGATAATACCAATATTTATTTGAAAGCTTCCTAAATTCCCTAGAAAATAAATATAAAAATCATCGAAATCGGACTGTTTGTTGCAGAGATATTTAGTTTTAAACATTTAGTACTTTTTCTTTTGCGAAGTCCATTTTCATTATTTTTTCCATGATAAATCGAAAACTTTACATTTAATGAAGTAATCGGGACTTTAATACTGCACAAGTATTAGTTAATGGATCACGAATGAGAGTGAAGTATTGAAGGGAGCTACTTAAATAAAAGAATATTAATTCCAAGTATTAATTTAATATTTTCTGACACAATACTTCCATTCGAATTTCAAAGAACAACTTTCTTATTAATAGCTGCATTTGTAGGTCAGGACCACAATCAAATCGCAGGGTCAAAGTTTTGGAAAAATTTGTGTATTATTGCAACATCCAGTAATTTCGTATGGACAATTATATGTGGCAGCAAGTAGAGCATATTCATTTAAAATTTTGAAATTTATATTTCCAATGGCAATGGGCAAGGCTATGTAATAAACAATAACAGAACATTCAAAAAGAATTAAGCTTGATTTTTAATTGTAATTTAAATTTTATTAATATTAATAAATGAGGATTTTTGAATCGTGATTTACTCTTTATTTATTGAATTTATTTTTTACTTATTTTTTATATGTTTTCCTCAAATTTGTAACGGCTATGGTCGAATTTCGAACACTGGGCGAACACTAGTTATCTGAATATGCCTCTATCTTGATACTCATCAATTTTATTATACAAGAATCCTAAGAACTTAATTCCATTCGATAACATTTTTTATATTATTAGATTTTTACTATATATCATCATATATACTTATTATATTGTATCATATTATAGTGCTGATTGTTACAATGTAGGTTCATGTTTATTACATCTTCAAGATATTTACCAATTACTGCTATTACACAATGTTGCAAATGCAAATTGCTTAACATCATAACTTTATTTTGTTTAATGTTTCCTTTCTTCTTATCTTTAGCAGCCTATGTAATTTAAGGGTCAAGTGGCTGAAGGTCACGTGACATTTTCAGGTTCTGATAATAATGAATTGAAGTCACGTTTATCTACTAACATGAAGGAAACAGCTGTTCCTACAAAGATAATTGACACAGACAACTTTATAGTGTACATTCTATTGCCTCAATTTGAGCCCTGATAAGAGTTGTTTGCCTTTAAAAGTGCGTTTAGACATTTCACAAACTATTGGTATCAAATAAATTTTCTTTACATTTTTTTTTTAATTAGAACCTTTTCATGGGGATTCATTAATGTTTAAACTAGAAATTAGTAGGAACATAATTAAAATAAAAAACATGAAGCCAATAGAGCAGAAAATAATTTTTCAGCCATAGTATTTGCGCAGAGCATAAATTTGACTACACTATTTTTTGCTGGAACTGTGTGCCTTACTCAAAACCAAAAAATTTAAATTCTTTAATAAAAGATAAAATATATTACAATTTTACATTAACATAAAATATAATTAACTTATATTGCTAAATCTTGAAAGAAAAATTAATTGTTTTATTTTCTTTATTACTTTTTTAACTTTTTAGAGCTCTTGGTTCAAGCACCAAAAATGAGTGTTTTAAAATAGATTTTAAGAAATTTAAATAATTTAATCTAATCTAATTACTATTTTTTTTTCATTATTATTCATAATTCATTATTATTTAATTCATTATTAAAGACAACAAGTACTGGAAGGAGTCAGCTCTTGCAGACCTATATGAAAGCTTAGATGTTGGATACAACACCAACATCGCTAAAAATATCATCCTCTTCATCGGTGATGGAATGGGACCGAATACCGTCACTGCTGCAAGGATCTACAGAGAAGGTGAAACTGGCTATCTGTCCTGGGAAAAATTCCCTCACATCGGAGCCATCAAGGTAATCAAATATATCAATACCAATATTTGTTTTTATTAATGGTGATAGATAAGAATGTATCATTCTGATGCTTTGTCTATAATACTGATAAGTTTCAAACATCATATAAAATAATTGCAACCATATAAAAAATTAAATTGCAAAACTTGATTGAGCTACTTCATATTTCACAAAAAATAAATGACTTTGTCTAAAAGATGACTTATCAACATTTGACACAACCTCACAGATTTATAAACACATCAATTAGTAATAGCATTATTTTCAGACATATGCTGCAGACAAACAAGTACCCGACTCAGCAAATACCGCCACTGCATTGTACACTGGCATAAAAGTCAACCTAGGAACACTGGGTGTTGATTCAAATGTAAAGAGAAAAGACTGTCACAGTGGTATTCTAAAAGAAAACCAACTTACAACCATCGCAACACTTGCGCAAGAGGCAGGGAAGTCGACTGGTATGTATATTTCAATATTCTATGAATAACATATACATCAACATATATATATTTTATATATATTTTAATTGTAGGAATCATCACAACAACTCGTGTCACGCACGCAACTCCTGCTGCAATGTACGCACACTCTGCAGAGAGGGATTGGGAATGTGATTCTAGTATACCAGCTGGATGTGATTGTAAAGATATTGCTCGGCAACTGATTGAGGATCTACCAGGAAGAAACTTTAATGTAAATCATAGCACATATTTTAAATAGATTACAAAAATTTAATACTAATTATTCATTAGTGATAAAAATTAAAATTGATTTATTTAATTAAATAAGAATAAATATTTTTTAAAAAATAGAACAATAATTAGAATATTATTGGAAGATTCATACAAAAAAAAGTTAGTTTCTTAAATAGCAGTAAATAAATGTCAGACAGCACTAATTCAGGCATTGTCAAGACTGAATAATCATATATGCTCTACTGTTTTAAATAATTTATTAAATCTTTTTCATTGGTCTTATTTTTAGCCTGTTAATGTAACATTTGCTATTTTTATGTTCTCTTATGTTTCTCAGGTAATAATGGGAGGCGGAAGACAGTTTCTAATGGCAAACTCTTTAAACTTAACAAATGATCCAATTAAAAACCAGGATTGCATAAGAACAGATGGACGCAATCTTATTGCAGAATGGGCCGAAAAGAAGAGTTCTGAAGGAGCGCGCTATGCTCTTCCAACTAATACCAAGGATTTATTGAATATTGATGTTTCCCAGACAGACTACCTTCTCGGTTTGTTGTGTTTATGTTATTTTAATTTATTTAATTGATAGTCGTTGCTGATCAATGCCCAATTTAAACACGATACTCCACTACTTTGTCTATTTATTTTTTTTTAAGTTACTGTTTTATTTATTAATTTAATTAAATTCACAAATATAACTAAATATTAATTCACAGAAATAATTGTTTGATATATTGTCCTTTCTAGAAAAATAAATTTGAAAAAGTGTGAAATTTTAAGAAGCTATAACGTTTCTGAAAAAAAAAAAATGAAATGAATAAATACTCTTAAACATATATAAATATTTAAAATACCAAGAATCAATTTCTTTGTTTTCATTCTACAAAATACTGCCATTTTTCTTAATTAGTTCTTGAATTATTTAAGAAAAATCTTGAAGTTTTTCTTCATAAACTACGGAATTGTGTAACAATTCAAGCTCTGCCCATGTCTCAAAGTACACCCTATGAAAAAATTTTTATTTTCATGTTCTTGATGCTTAAATTAATGAAACACCAAGAAATAAAAAATCTTTATGATCAACCGTATTTTAATAGTAAGTCCTCAGTACTTACTATTACAATATTATTAAAGTACTTCTCAGAAGTGCTACTAAGTAAGTACTCAGAAGTATAAAATTGTTACTAATGGATGTTTTTGACATATAATTTGCAGAATATCAATACAACTTCTGATTCCAAAAGTTTATTGACTTCAATTATGTACTTGAAAATATGTAAAGCAATCCTTTTTTTTTTTTTAATCTTGGAAATAATGGAGATAATTTAGTCAATTAAAAATAATCAAGGTTAAACAGTGATTAATTATATCATTAAAATCATTGTAAAAAAAAATATAAAAGTTTTTATTTTAAGGTTTGACCGATAAAATTAAATGAAAACTGGTTGGGAAATATTATATACGAAACTATATTATAGTATTTTTTAATTTTTATTTGCATATCAAAGTCTAGTTTTTCATTTCACAGGAATATTTCAAAACAGCTACCTTCCTCATGAATATAAAAGAGATAAGTCTGAGTACGGAGTACCATCTTTAGAACAGATGACCACAACTTCTGTCAAACTCATGATGAAAAATAAAAATGGATTTGTTTTGATGGTAAATAATTTATTTTCTTATTTTTTTATTATTATTTAAATCAACATTTTTGGATCTGCGCTTTTCTTTAAAAACATTCAAAGTTTCCGCTCCTCTGTTTTATTGAGACAAAAAATTTAAGAATACGTTTTTTAATCATTATGGTGTCTCCTTAATTATTAAATTTTGCAACAGTTAGTATCATATTCTTCATCACCATCCTGTTTGCTATTTATGCAGAGAAGAGGAGCTCTTCTAACCTAAACAGTTTCCTCTTCTAATCCATACCTTATTCAGGAAAACATGTTAATGTCAGATAAAAATCACAAGTTTAAAGAACAAATTTAAAATTTGTTTAGGTTGAAGGTGGTCTGATCGACATAGCTCATCATGTTGGTAAGACACGTCAATCTCTAGAAGAAGTTATAGCATTCAACAACGCTATCAACAGTACGATGAAACTACTTAGAGATACCGGAATCGCAGAAGAAACTCTAGTCATTGTCACCAGTGATCATTCCCACACACTCACAATAAGTGGATATCCAAATATAGGGAACAATATTTTAGGTAAAATTTACTTTTATTTATAATGATGTAGAGGTGGTTTACAGTGATATAATATGAGAAGGAGTTGATCGGGGGGGTGCGGTCAAATAAATACTAAATTATAGAAATAGTATTATTTAATTATTAACTATCAGTATTATCTAATTACTACTATTTCTATAATTTAGTATTTATTTTACTGCAACTCCCGATCAACTCCTTCTCATACTTTTATTTATATTATTAAAAGACTTAAGGACTATTAATGATTTTGTAATAAACTAACCCAAACAAACACTGCATAAAAATATAATACGTAACAAGCAAAATACATAGCAAGGGTATTAACTATATTTTCTATCTAGGATTAACACCTACATAAGAGGTAACCATCATTATTAGTCAGACATAAAGAAATTATATTTTAGTTTTTCAAGAAAACAATAAACATCAGCACTGCAATCAGAGATGGACAAATGCTATTCTGAGTACCGAGTATCAAGTGTTTTACTCAAATTGAATCATCATTCGGAATCCAATCACTACTTCAGTAAATAATTTGACATCAAATGAAGTAGTAATTAAATTATTTGGTACTCAAAAAGGGTCAGTATTTCAATAAAATGCATGGTACTCATTACTCAGATTAGCAATTGCCCATCTCTGACGACTGCAATAAAGGCCACCAGAGGGTGTGAATAATGTATTTTATATCCATTTTAAAACCCTTATAGAAGTCTTCTAGAAAACAGGGGGGTCTAAGAACTATGGGAATGCCAACAGCCATATTAGGGCTGTTTTCCAGGCAGAACAATACCATTGAGGGTAAATTTCAGGTATAATTTGGGCATTTTTAAACAGTTGTTTGCAATTATTTTAAATTTTATCCGGTACAGTCCATCCAAACAGGGTTAAAAATTGGTGAGGGTTGATATTAAATACTAAAGAAGTGGTTTCAACCTCAATTTTCTACAACTCCCATTTTGATAAATTAAAAGGCAGAAATAAATTCAAAACTAAAAGAAAGAAATTCAGCAGTTCAATTATTAAACGCTTATTCATGAAAAAAAACTTGAATAATGTTGTGCATTAAATTTTTTTTTCCTGCATTTAATTCCCTATTTTTCTGTGCTAATTACTCTTATTACTAAGTACTCCTAGTACTTAGTGTAAATACATATATATATATATATATATATATATATATATATATATATATATATATATATATATATATATATATATATATATACCATATTTACAGAAAACATAAATAAAAGCAAAATAATTATAAAAAACTATAAATAGCAAATAAAAATTTAGAGGAGTTCTGCTGCTTTCACTGTCTTCTTTTTTAACCTATGAAAAAATCATTTAATTTAAAAGGTGTGGCAGACAAATCGAGTGCGGATGGAGTACCTTACACCACTCTGGGATATGCGAACTCAGGCATAGAGAACTACCACTACACAGCTGTCAATGGTACCGTTGTTCGTGAGGATCCATCGAAGGTAGATACAACATCCTGGGACTATGGACCTCAAGCTGCGGTACTTCAGAACAGGAATACGCATGGTGGAAACGATGTTTTTATTTATGCATCAGGTAAATATTATTAAGGACATCAGTTTTTTTTTTTTAGAATTATTTATTACTTTTTATTTTTTTATCTATCCTTCCTTGCCTTATAGGCTACACAGAGTTTTCCTAGGCTGGGGGAGAGGGCAGGGGAATTAAAAGTCCCACCAGGCACCGGGATTTGAACTCATAATTTTTTCGAACTCATACTTCGGTTATCAGGTTGCCTAGCAACGCACCTGTGTGCACACAAGTTAGCCTACTTGGCCACCCCACCTCCGAATTATTTATTACTGTGACACAATTTGATATAATATAAGTATTAATAAATGTTTGATTACACAGGTCCATTCGCTCACCTGTTCCATCGCATCCATGAACAGAACTACGTTGCTGTGGTGATGAGGTACGCTTCCAGGCTTGGAGAATTTTCTTCAGCTACATCAAGTTCTTCCAGTATTCTGTCATCTATTTTATTATTATTCGCTGTACAATTAATTTACCTACTGTGATAATTTATTTGTCTTCTAGATCTGAATATATATATATATATATATATATATATATATATATATATATATATATATATTATATATATATATATATGAATTTTATAAAGCTATGGCTATTGATACCAAATATAGTTGCTACCAGAAACATTTAAAACATTTATCAAATAATTTGTTATTGATATATTGATAAGAATGTACTTAAATATATAATATTATATAAAATAAAGTTTTAAAATAAAATAGAGACTGGCTATATTAAAAAATCCTGAACTTTTAATTCGCATACCCTTTGAGTCTAAATGAATGAATGAATGAACAAATGAAAATAATTTTACTATTCTGGGACTAGTGTCCCTTTAGAACAAGTCACAAATACAGAATATATATCAATATTTTGGTGTGCCCATGAAATACAATTTAATATTTATAGGTTGATTTGGAGTACAATAAAGTTATAAATGATAAAAAGATATAAATACATGTAAATATAAAATATACAGAGAAAGTAATTAAGCGAACAAAATATTGATGAATTACAAAATGATCAGAGTATCTGGGTGTAGTTTGAGGTTTTTACAGCTTAGTTTTTTAAGTGCATTTCGTGATCAATTGGATTGGGAATGGAGTAGGTGTTCGAAGAGGAGAGAATTGAAAGAGGATATCGATTTTGCATGTCGAATATCTGAAGGTATAGAGTTCTAGAGAGATACAACTTGTATTAAAAAGGATTTATCAAATGTAGCAGTTCGGTGAGGGAGAGGATAGAGATCGGACGCACAGGATCTGGTGGGACGGGATTGAAAGGAGCGTTTGAATTGAAGGAGCTGTAGAATATAGGCCTGTCGCCGTGTTCTAATGGCATGGTATAGGAAGGTAGCCAGAAAATATTGACGGTGGTAGGATGGATAAAGCCACTTCAACTTGGTGTAGAACTGGGTAATATGCGTATCCCTTGAGATGCGTATCCCTTGAGATAAACATGTACAAATATAAATTTTGGCCAAAGATGCAACATAAAAATTTGCGAGAAGATTTTGAATGACTTGTTTCATAAAGATATTTAAATTTTTTTTGGAAAAATGAAGCAAAAAAAATGCAGTTGCTTATAAATCCAGGCCTCAACGGCACAGGCAGATCTACGGAGGAAGCTTTTGGCAACCCCCCCCCCTACCTCTCCCGCTCAAATCAATAAATTATTTTTCTAACATTGGTCCATATTTACTACTGTGAGTGATCTAAGCTAAATATTTAAACAATATAGTCGGCACCATGTTAAAATAACGAATGTTAACCTGTCCAATGTTGTACATTCGTTACATTAACTAACATGGGGCCAACATCTATATTCTATTTTTTTAAATTATGTATATAAATCTATTAAATAAAATCACGTCTTATGAAAAGAAGTGTCTCTAAAAGTATTATTGTTCATGTGATGATATTTTTAAAAGAATTTCAAGAATCACTTAAACACCATTTCATGTAGATAGTTAGCATCTTTCTTTTTCTTCAAGTAATTAGCATTATAGACATACATATAAAAAAAATAATCTTTTGGGTTGAAGCTTCCCAATATTAAATTCTGGATCCATTTGTGCATAATCATTACATTTACTTTTAAATGGTCTATTTTTCTAATTGGCACGATTTTCTTTTAATAATGTGCATTTAGACAAACAAGCTATTCAGCTATTAGGAAGTGTAACTTCCTCCATTTTCATGGCTCTCTTTTTACTAAACAGAAGATAAATAAATATAAGTATATGAGCATCTCAGATTCTAAGGTTGTTATATTTATAGCTTAAATTTTTGTAAAGTAATTATTTAAAATAACACAAATCTTATTTATTATACCGATGGAAGGCAATAAAAACCTTATAACTCAATCTGTTTATAATTACATATGAATAACTTGTAATTTGTAATATATAATAATATGTTTAATTAGTAAAATTGTATATAAAGAATGAATATACTTTACATTATGTACATAAACATTTTAGCAATATAAATACTAAAAAAAAAACAAATCAAGATCTCAGACCTATATGAAGAATTCTTAGATAATAAAATGGCAGACCATGGAAATAAATTAAATGTAATTTATTATTATATGTTGCATGAATATTTCCAATTGTGACATTATTAAGGAGTCAAATATTATGATCAAATTACATTTTTTTTTTTACTTTCATAAAATGATTCTTGTTATCTCAACAGAAAGACGTGAAAAATAATTTAAATGGTGAAAGTTGCCTTTAATCTGGATAATCACAAAACTAATAAACAAATAAAATGTTTTCTAAGAACATTGATAAAAAACTACTAAATCAAACCTGTAAAAACAACAATATTAAAATTCATATTAAGGAAAAAGTCTTACCTGTTTTTTGAGTGCGTTGAGTAAAATGAGGAATGAGGATTGAAGAACGAGGTGGCAACACATGTAATATAGGTAGAGGTAAGAGGACTTAGGAATATTTTATAGTGTCTGGTTGTTATACATCTGATATAAGTAGGCTGATTTAGGAATTTTCAGAGTAAGGTTGTAACACATATGATATAGATAGGCTGATTTAAGAATATTTCAGAGTATTTGGTTGTTACAAACAGTGCTGGTCTTAATGTTGGGCAAGAAGGGCAATTGCCTCAGAGTGCCGATCTAGAAGGGCATCTGTTATGGGCAATGATCATCAGGGATACTCAAATATATTATGAATTAAAAAAAAAAAAAAAAAAAAATATATATATATATATATATATATATATATATATATATATATATATATATACACAAAGCGTATTAAAATAATTAATTTTAGCCTTTTAATAAAGCAACTGTATTAGAGAAATAAAAAAAAAACCTGTACCAGTACTACCCATGAAGGGTCTTGGGTTCAGCAATATTTAGGGAAAGCACTGTTTCTTGGTCTACGGTTTGTGCAAGGAGGTGATTTGACCGAGATCACGCTCAACTGCCAGGTTTTTCCCCTTAATCAATTATTTTAATTAAGGGTACCCACTTTGTAGAGGCTGGGTGTGCCTCATGAGGGTCTACCTACCCATGATCGCCCCAAGGCCAATGAAACAGAATATATAATTTTTCTGCCATGAGCCGGGAATCGAACCTGGGGCCATTAGCATTGGAAGCTCAGTACCCTACCTCTGAGCTACCCCACTCCCCATTAGAGAAATATTGAATGAAATAAAACTCAAATATTACATAAAATAAAACAGCTTGAGAAATATATATATATATTTTTTTTTTAAGGGGGGATGACATCATTGCATGGGGACGCAAAATGTTTAAGGCCAGCACTGATAACACATCTGATATAAGAAAGCTGATTTAGAAATATTTAAGCTGTTTGGTTAAGCAGATGTGTTAAAAATAAAAAATTTCCAGTATTAAATAGTCGGTCTTTGAGCTTCCCCGTAGAACTTTAGTGTCATAGTCAGTGTAAAAAACTCAATACTATTTTCAATGAATATTTAACAGCACTAACCAATGTCGGAATATAATCAGAGCCCGGATTTTTATAACATTGTCATGATTTTTAAAACTTGGATATCTTTACGAATCAATGAACTCAAATGGAATCAACCAAATTTTATTGTACTTATTTCATGATAAATGCATATATGTAATTGAATATTTTGCTAATTTAAATTAGATAGATTAGATTGATAGATAGATTAGATTAAATTGCTAATTTAAATTATTTCTATTTCAAAAAATAGAAATAAAAAACTAAAATTCAATATTTAAGATGTAATTCAATATTACAATTGTAAGCTTGTAATTAATCATTATAAATCATCTCAACTAACAAGAAAAAATGTATATCAAACTATACTTTCAATAAGTGACTTCTTAGAACATAGATTATTAACTTTCTCAGCCTTTAATCTTTCCTCATTTAATGAACACCGCACTTAGTTTTAATTTCAATTTGTTTCAAATTTTCTTGACAAACAATATTATTTATTATAATTTTAAATGCCGGTGATTGAAGTTATGCCAGTAAGTGTATCGTTTATATTATTTTTAAAAAAACCGATGCATCTTTAGAAACTAGTTTATCTTTAGTATTTTTTAAGAGCTGATCAAACATTTCAATTTTGAAGAAAATGATGCACTTTTTTATTTTACATCACTTAAAAAAAAAAAATGTGCATAATTTTCTTTAAATTTAAAATGATGAAGATGAAACAGTTTTTAAAACACATGGAAAAGTTTTTTTTTTCATATATTGTTCAAAACAAATTACTAGTGAAAGCAACATATTAATAACTTTTACTGGGTATGAATTTTTTCTATTTATGTCTGTTGATGTACAAAGATTATTTTCTTATTATGGAAACATAAAAAAAAATAAAACAATTACATTTTTCACAAACAAATTTAGAAATAAATAATATAATTTTAATATATTTGTGTTTTGTTTATTTTTTCAGTTTTCAATATAATAATTTTATTTAGGGAAGTTTGTAATATTCTACATATCATGGATGATCGATAATCAGGACCAGCTGGTTTTTAAGATTTTTATTTCCAAAGTTTCAACTCAATCTTATGGGACATCATCAGTGCTGGTAACATATCCTGATGATGACCCATAGAGCTTGAGTTAAAATGTTGGCAGTAAAAATCTTAAAAATTTACTGCGCCCTGAATATCTATCATCCATATTATCATCTCTATTTTATTACAGGATTCCATAGTTATAACTCTATTCATGATGTCAATGTAATTTGACCTACATTTTTATTAAAATTTAAAAAAAAAATCTTGAAATACCCATCAAAAAATGATTTCACTTTCAAAAAAATCTATAATTGGTAAATGGTTGACTGTCGTGAATAATGGAGAGAAGAATAGTTGGGGTGATCAGTCAAATAAGAAGGTAAAAATAAATGATACTATTTATTTTGACATTAGCCGACGTTTCGACCTGAAGTTCAGGCCATCATCAGGGCTAAGAAAATAACCAGATAACAA